AATAAAACAACAAAAAACGAGTTCATGGACTGGTCACTGTCTCTGGATGCAAGTCTGTATGAAAATACCAGTTGCCTGGCTGTGCGGAGATACCCACAATACAGCGGTCCTCACGAGGGTGGCGCTACATATATATATATATATATATATATATATATGAGCATAAATGAGTACACCCCAACAGATTTGTCAGAAAACCTTTACTTTTCTTTCAGAATCAATTCTTTGGGACACTATACTACAAAATACTCCCATAAATGCGGGACATTGATTGCAAAAAAGATTTGCACACACAAAACAGTATTTTTTCTACCAAATTCATTCAAGACCATGTTGCAAAAATGAATACACCCCAATGAAAGTCTTAGAGGCAAAGCTAAATTTCAGCAATGGCACCACATGGAGAAATGTCACAAAGCCTGAGAAAGAAAATAATTTCTTTACAAAACAAAGGTGAAGGCTACAAGAAGAAGATCAACAAACCTTTACTTATCAGTCAGAATACTGTAGCAAAAGTGATACTAAAATATAACAAAGATGGAAGAACTGCAACCATTTCACACAGATGCCAAGGCCGTCTATGGCAGTCAACATCTAGACAGTAGCGTCTTCTGATAAGAAGAGCTGAAGAAAATCACAATGCAAGTTCACTGCAGTTAGCTAAAGAAGTAGAAAGCCAAACTGAGGTGATTGCTTCCCGTGACACAATACGGCGTACACTGCAGAAGAATGGCATGCATGGGTGTCATCCACGTAGGTAGCCTCTCCTAAAGCCCATGCATGAAAAGACCCACCTAGAATTTGCCAGGGCCCATGCTGAAAAAGAAGAAGACTACTGGGACTCTGTGTTCTGGAGTGATGAGACCAAGATAAATGTTTTTGGAACTGATGGCTTCAAAACTGTATGGCGTTGCAAGGGTGAGGACTACAAAGAAAAATGCATGGTGCCTACAGTGAAACATGGTGGTGGCAGGGTCCTTCTGTTGGGCTGCATGAGTGCTGCTGGTTTCGGGGAGCTGCATTTCATTGATGGTATCATGAATTCACAGGTGTACTGCTCTGTATTGAAAGAGAAGATGTTACCATCACTCCGTGCCCTTGGTCGTCGTGCACTTTTCCAACAGGACAATGATCCAAAAACACACATCTAAGGCCACTATTGCATTTCTGAAGAAGGATGAAAGTGATTCAGTGGCCAAGTATGTCTCCTGATCAGAACCCAATCGAACACCTATGGGGGATTCTGAAGAGACAAGTTAAGCATCACTCTCTCCATCCAGCATCCAGGCTCTAAAAAAGGTCGTTCTTGAAGAATGGAAAAAGATCGATGTTGCAATATGTCGCCAACTTGTTAAATTCATCCTTAGAAGACTTGCTGCTGTCCTTAAAAATCATGGAGGTCATACAAAATACTAGATGGAGTCGTTTTTGTTGTGGGGTGTATTCATTCATTTTTGCTGTGGGGTGTATTCATCAACTAATTTGAGTAAAACTGACGATTTTGTAATCTTAGTTATATTATTAATCTTACTTTCATGTAATGAGCTAAACAAATGTTCTATAAAACCCCATTTTGTCAAAACTTTGGAAATTGTTCTTGTTTTCATTGAGATATTGATTAAAATCTTACTTTTCAAAGTAAGGGGTGTACTCATTTATGCTGAGCATTTTATATGTATATATATATATATATATATATACACACACACACCATATTGCCAAAAATTATTGGGACACCTGACTTTACACGCACAAACTTTAATGGCATCCCAGACTTAGTCCGTAGGATTCAATATTGAGTTGGCCCACCCTTTGCAGTTACAACAGCTTCAACTCTACTGGGAAGGCTGTCCACAAGGCTTAGGAGTGTGTCTATGGCAATGTTTGACCATTCTTCCAGAAGCGCATGTGTAAGGTCAGGCACTGATGTCGGATGAGAAAGCCTGGCTCGTAGTCTCCGCTCTAATTCATCCCAAGCTGTTTTATCTGGTTGAGGTCGGGACTCTGTGAGGCCAGTCACGTTCCTCCACCTCAAACTCATCTATGTCTTTATGGACCTTGCTTTGTGCACTGGTGTGCAGTCACGTTGGAACAGCAAGGGACCATTCCCAAACTGTTCCCACAAAATTGGGAGCATGAAATTGTCCAAAATGTCTTGGTATGCTGACGCCTTAAGAGTTTCCTTCACTGGAACTAAGGACCAAGCCCAACCCCTGAAAAAAACAACCCCACACCATAGTCCCCCCTCCGCCAAACTTTACACTTGGCATAATGCAGTCAGCAAGTACCGTTCTCCTGGCAGCCGCCAAATCCAGACACGTCCATTGGATTGCCAGACAGAGAAGTGTGATTTATTACTCCAGAGAACATGTCTCCACCGCTCTTGAGTCCAGTGGTGATGTGCTTTACACCACTGCATCCGACGCTTTGTATTGCACTGCATGGCCATGGAAACCCATTCCATAAAGCTCTCTATGCATTGTTGTTGTGCTAAACTGAAGGCCACGTGAAATTTGGAGGTCTTTAGCTATTGACTTTGCAGACAGTTGGCGACTTCTGCATGCTGTGCGCTTCAGCATGCGCTGACCCTACTCTGTCATTTTATGTTGCCTACCACTTCGTAGCTGAGTTGCTTTTGTTCCCAGTTGCTTCCACTTTGTTATATTACCACTAACAGTTGACCTTGAAAATTTTAGTAGCAAGGAAGTTTCACGGATGGACTTGTTGCACAGGTGGCAACCTATCATGGTACCACGCATGAATTCACTGAGCTCCTGAGAGTGACCAATTCTTTCACAAATGTTTGTAGAAGCAGTGTGCATGCCTAGGTGCTCGATTTTATATACCTGTGGCCAAGAAGGTGATTGGAACACCTGAATCCAATGAATTGAAGGGGTGTCCCATATATATATATATATATATATACACACAGAGAGAGAGAGAGAGAGAGAGAGAGAGAGAGAGAGAGATTGTATATTTGCATTAGTCCCTGCTCTCAAGGAGCATACAATCTAAGGTCCCTATCTCACATTCATACATACAGTACACATACTAGGCCCAGTATAGACATGAGCCAATGAACCTACCAGAATGTCTTTGGATTGTAGGAGGAAACCAGAGTACCGGGAGGAAACACACATAGGCACGGGCAGAACATGCAAACTCCAGGCAGGTAGTGTCATGGTTGGGATTCAAATGCAGAAGTGCTAATGATTAGCACCTGAATAAACTTTGGTATTCATCAAGTTGCATGCTCGCTGGGACAGAACAAAGATAGACTCTCTGAAGTAATACTGATAGCTAAAGAGCAGGATGATTAGAATAGTTTCTTGGTAACAACAGTAAGGGCTCCATCACATGTGTTGATTATGAAGAACGATGCAATGGTCATTAATGCACCTATAGCATTTGTGATGTGTTTATGACGTGTTTTCATTTTGTTAATGAAGTGTTGTAAAAGCTCTAAGAATGCTTGATAAATACCCATGAAAGTGTTGTTTTGCTTCTGGGAAGTGATTACAGGAGAAGTGATGCAGAAGAAATGGTCTACTTTGAGGTGTGGTTAGGATGTGGTGTGATAGCAGACATTTTTGTGAATTTTCTGCAAGATGGATTCATATACTTTGATCTCTCCGACACTTGTCGTGGTCCAGCTCAGCTTTGCTGAAACAAAAGACTTTGCCACTGTCAAGGTCCTACCTTTCCTCAGAGCTTGTGCATCTCCATGTGCTGGCATCCATCTTAGATTGCTGCAAAGCATGGTGGGAACCTTTATGCCTTCAGGCTTCTGCGGCTCCGCCTCAGAGGGGTGTGGCTGATCACATTTAAACTTGCTGTCTGCAAGTGCTCTCTGGATTTGTGTCCTGTATGTTCCTTGTCGCAAGCTCTTGTTCTGTTCTAGTTGCTCTCCTGGTAACCGACTCGGCTTGGACAAGACAATTCGCTGCTTTAACCCTTTACCTGACCTCCCGTTGATGAACCCAGCCAGTGACCTGAGTATTCTTTGCCTACCGTCTAGTACTGTCTGCTCCGTTGTTATTGACCCGGCCTGTCTGACTACGCTACACGTGTTCCCATCTAGCTCCCAACAGCTGTACGCCATTGGCGGCAGTCGTTACCACAGCTGGGGTTACTCGGGGGCCGTGACCTGGTCTCAGGCTGCGTCAAGTCCATCCCCACCATCAGGGGCCCTAATGAAGGGTAGCTTGGGGCTTAGACTCCGCGCCCTGAGGGACTCTGGTCTGTGGGTGGTGGCTGTCGTCAATCGCTGCATGACCTTACCATAAGTCTGCCTGCCAATTCCATCATTCCTGCCCTGACAGCCACTGGTCCTAATGCTAAAATTCTTCTGCTCCTGCCTGGTACTCTCAATATTTCTGGCTGGCTTAATTCTTTTGCCTGTGCACAGAGGCTGATGGTGGTACCACACAGCTGGTACACACAGCTGCTCTGTACAAACAGGAAGTGTCTGCAGCTGCTCTGTCCTAGTCCTCTATTATTTCCCAGTGCATCCTGGGATACAGGAACCTCCAGGGCCTCTCACTCAGTGCCCAGTTAACACTTTGTAAATGCTTCACTAACACGCCATAAATGCCATAGGTGCTGCTAATGTGAGGTTACAGATCATTGCCACTGAAATCAATGGAGGCAGCTAATAAGTGTCGATGCCTCATGAAAGAGACATGCTGCTTAATTTTGAACAGGACACAACACTACCACTCCCATGTGAAGGGCACTGCGTGGTGCCATTGCAATGTTCATGGTGTTGATGGGTGGTATTGAGGCTTCAAAAATGCTGAATAAATACTGCATAAACACATGGTATTGACGCACATAGGAATGAGCCCTGACAGAGTTTTTTATTTCTTTTAATCAAAATTTTAGTGATATTTGGTAACACCAGTAGTGTAGGTTAAACCGCCTCCTGCCCACCATATAAAGAAATGACGGTGCAAGGTGGTTCTCTCGTTCTGGGAGAATGTCATATCATCCCTCGGACACAGCGGATCACCGATCAACAGAAAGAGCAAAGATTTTGGCTCGGTCATGTGATCAGCTGTGTCCAATCACAGCTGATCTCATGTAAATAGGGAAATGCTGGTTATCGGCATTTCTCTCCTCACGCTGTCACGCTGACAGCTTGAAAGGAGAGGAGAGCCGGTAATCGGCATTCCTCAGAGGGGACATGTACACTGATCATGATCAGGGCACTGATGATCAGTGTAGCCCCAGCAGTGCCCCCTGTCCGTGTCCATCAATGCCAGCTGTCAGTGCTCATCAGTGCCACCTGCCAGTGCCCATCAGTGCCACATCAATGCCACATATCAGTGCTCATCTGAGCTGCCTTTCAGTGTCACCTATCAGTGCCAGTCAGTGCCACCTATCAATGCCAGTCAGTACCACCTATCAGTGCTGCCAATCAGTGCCACCTATCATTGGCAGTCAGTACCAACTATCAGTGCCAGTCAGTGCCGACTATCAGTGCACATCAGTGCCACCTATCAGTGCCTGTCAGTGCTGCCTATCAGTGCCACCTAACAGTACCAGCCAATGCCACCTATCAGTGCTGCCAATCACTGCCACCTATCAGTGCCAATCAGTGCCACCTATCAGTGCCGCCTATCATTGCCACCTAACTGTGCCAGTCAGTACTGCCCATCTTGTGCCATATATGAGTGCTGCCTTTCAGTGCCCATCAGTGATGCCTGTCAATGCCCATCAGTGCCACCTACCAGTGCCTCCTCATCAGTGCCCATCAGTGTCACCTATCATTGCCCATCACTGCAGCCTCATTAGCGCATATTAGTGAAGGAGAAAAATCACTTATTTACAAAATTTTATAACAAAAACTAAGAAAAAAACGTGTTTTTTCATAATTTTCAGTTGTTTTTGGTTTGTTTAGCAAAAAATAAAAAACCCAGAGGTGATTAAATACCACCAAAAGAAAGCTCTATCTGTCTCAAAAAAATGATAAAAATGTAATATGGGTACAGTGTTGCATGACCGCGCAATTGTCATTCAAAGCGCAACAGAACTGAAAGCTGAAAATTGGCCTGGGCAGGAAGGGAGCATAAGTGCCCAGTAGGCAAGTGGTTAAAAGAGCAGAATTGTAGGAATAGGTTCTTGGGTTGGCTAAATATAGGTCATAAATATATAAAATGTATTTCTACTTTAGGAATATAAAGAGAAATATGCATATTAGAATTCAGTAAACCTGTTTTATTTATAATCTACCCCAAACATCTTTCTCACTTCTCTAAAAAGGTGTTCACTGAAGCATTAGAATAATAATGGACTGCTTGTCTGCACGCATTTTAATAACTTGTTTATCTTAATCCAGGGTGCAGTGTATTCCCTTACCAGATTATATAAAAAGTCAAAGCAAGAATGATTCTTTTAGAGGGAGTTCCATTTAGAATTCTATTGTTAGAACTCCCTCAGCATTTTACAACAGTCAATAGCTGATTTGAATCTATTATAAACTTCCTGTTACCATCAAAACAACACTTACTCTATACTTTTTCAATCAGTAGTATGTGTACCCCAGGAGATTCTTTGGATAGAGGTAAAGCCTTTTGAAGCAAAATCTGATCACTTTTTTTTCCAGTAAACATTTAATCTTATTTTTAATCAATTAAAGTATGCCTAGGCATTTTAAAACGCATTAATTAAAATAGAAACCATAGAAAGTACATAATTTAAGGTAGCCTGCATCAGGTCAATATTACCACAATACACCAGCACTAGGATTTACTGCTTATGGCTCAGTTGCTGTATTCCCAGGGGCGTATCTACCATAAGGCAAACAAGGCATTTGCCTGTGGCGGTAATTTTTAGGGGGTGGCACTGCCCCCCAGAAGAAGGGACCTTTTGAGCAGCGACGGACAGCAGGAAGATCAATGTGGTGGGGCGTGGGGGAGGGCAGTTGCAGAGCGATGGTTGTGTACCTCTCCCTCCAGCAGCTGATGAGCCAGGACCAGGGCACAGCCTGGAGCAGGGAGAAGAGATGTGTCCAAGATGAAAGAGCCCGAAGGAGGTGAGCTGTGTTGTCTGCTGTGTGCTCTCCCTCCTGTCATCCATCCAGTACATTACACTGACACTGATCACTGACAGATCGTATGGGACTACACATACCTCCCCCCTCCCCTTCCTGCTGCTCGGAGATTAGCAGCCCTTGGAGAGGGGGGGGGTGGATGTGTGTAGTCCCATACGATCTGAAGAAGGGGGGGAGAGGGGGGCAGAGAGGGAAGAGAAAGAAAGGGAGAGAGAGAGAGGGAGAAAGAGAGAGAGAAGAAAGAGAGGAAGAGAAAGAGAGAGGGAAGGGAGAGAGGGAGGGAGAGCGAGAGAAGGAAGAGAAAGAGAGGGAAGAGGGAGAGGGGAAAAAAGAGAGGGAGGGGAGAAAGAGAGAGAGGGAAGAGAGAGGGGGGAGGGGGAGAAGAGAGAGAGAGGGAAAGAGAGGGGGGGAGAGAGAGGGAAGAGAGATGGGAGAGAGAAAGAGAGGGGAGAGGGGGAGGGGGCGAGAGAGGGAAGATAGAGAGGGAAGAGGAAGAGAGAGGGAAGAGAGAGAGGGAAGAGGAAAAGAGAAGAGGGGGGAAGGGGGTAGAAAGAGGGGGGGGGAGAAAAGTGAGAGAGAGGGAAGAGAGAGGAGGGGGAGAGAGAGGGGGGAAGAGAGAGGGGGGTGAAGAGAGAGGGGGAAGAGAGAGAGGGGGAAGAGGGGGGGGGGGAGAAAGAGAGAAGGTAGCCTGCATCAGATCAATATTACCACAATACACCAGCACTAGGATTACTGCTTATGGCTCAGCTGCTGTATCCCCAGGGGCATATCTACCGTGAGGCAAACAAGGTGTTTGCCTAGGGTGGCAATTTTTATTGGAGTGGCACCGCCCTCCAGAAGAAGGGACCTTTTGAACAGCGGCAGACAGCAGAAAGATCAATGTGGTGGGGCGTGGGGGGAGGGCAGTTGCAGAGCGACAGTCTTGTACCTCTCCCTCCAGTAGCTGATGAGCCAGGACCAGGGGACAGCCTGGAGCAGGAAGAGGAAAAGTTTCCGATATTAAAGAGCCCGGAGAAGGTGAGCTGTGTTGTCTTCTGTGTGCTCTCCCTCCTGTCATCCATCCAGTACATTACACTGACACTGACAGATCGTATGGGACTACACCCCCCCCCTTCCTGCTGCCCGGAGATCAGCAGCCCTTGGGGGGGGGGTGGATGTATGTGGTCCCATACGATGAGAGGGAGAAAGAGAGAGAGGGAGAAAGAAAGAGGGAGAGAAGAGAGAGAGGAAGAGGATGAGGGAGAGGGAAGGGGAAGAGAGAGAAGGAAGAGAGAGGGGGGGGGGTAGGGAGGGGGAGAGAGTGAAGAGAGAGAGGGGGGAGAGAGAGGGGGATAAGAGAGGGGGGGGAAGAGGGGGGGAAGAGGGGGGGAAGAGGGGGGAATAGAGGGGAGAGAGAGAGAGAGAGAGAGAGAGAGAGAGAGAGAGAAGAAAGAGAGAGGGAGAAAGAGAGGGAATAGAGAGGGGGAAAGAGAGAGGGAGAGGGGGGGGGATGGAGAGAGAATCGTATATACATACATACGTTTATTGAACTCTCTTGCTCTCTCATTGGGGGAGGTGGGCGCAAAATTTTTGTGTTGCCTAGGGCAGCACAAAATCTAAATACACTACTGTATATTCCAGCACTCTAATTTTAGTGTCGAACTATCGAAATCACCACATACACAGTGCTAGCATATGCTTTATCAAAAACAAAATATCTTAAGGTGTCCATGTTTGAATAAAGTGTTCAAATAATTATAAAAGTGATGAGTGTTGTGCAAATTCTCTCCAAAAGCATTATTCCATCTGTGAGAAACATCCATGGTCCTCCACCTTCACATCACAGAACTCATCAAATCACCATGACCACCTAAATCAGGTAAGTCATTCGGGGCTTATGTTGCACCAGGAATATCTCCTTCCAAGTCCACTGTCAAACTAGAGTCATCGCCACTCCTTTCACCAATATGTCTACATTCATATAGAAGGTTTTCATAGAGAAAGCAGAAAAGTCCCCATAGTGTAAAGCCATTTACCTTTTATTTTTTTTATTTTACTCCCTGGTCATCTCTCGCCTCGACTACTGCAAATTCATCCTCCATTGGCTTAACTGTACATAGACTATCCGCCCTTCAGTACTTCATGAATGCTACTGCCAAACCCATTCACCTTACCAACCGTTCAGTGTCTGCTACTCCTCTCTGCCAAACTCTCCACTGGCTAACAATAACTAACTGACTAACACTAGCAAAGACTTACAAAGCCATCCACAACTCGGCCCCCAGCTACATCACTAACCTACTCTCAAATACCAACCAAATCGTTCTCTTTGTTCCTCCCAAGACCTCCTTGCTCTATAGCTCCCTTGTCACTTCCTCCCAAATTGGCCACCAGGACTTATCCTGAGTTTCTCCCATCCTCTGAAATTCCCTACTCTAAACTGTCCAAATGTCTCCTACAGTCTACTTTTAGACAATCCCTAAAAACCTATCTCTTCAGAGAAGCCTATCCTGCCCTTATATAATAACTGTACTTTATTTTCTCCATCAGCTCATCCCCCACATTATATACCTTTTGTATCACTTGACCCTCTCTTTTAGATTGTATGGTCTACTGAGCAGGGCCCTTTGATTCCTCCTGTATTGAATTGTATTGTAATTGTACTGTCTGCCCTCACAATATTTTAAAACTTGCCAATAAAAACATGAGTAATACCCACTCACATTGTAAAGTGCTTAGCCGACCACAAATGCTACAACAGCATTGTTTTCTATGGGATGCCGACTCCACAAACAATCTGTGTGAGTGGTTCCTTATTCAGGCCTGATTTCCAAGTGTACTGGCGTCACTTCTGGGCGTACTGTGTGGAATGACGTCACTTCCTGCTCCAGTGCTGTGGAGTCAGCACCTTTGTCCCAACGTTGAGGAACAAGTGCCATTTCCCTACCTCCATATGCCACAAAAAGGAGGTGGGGTAATAGAAAAATGCAGGAATGGTGGAATCTAGAAGCCCCTTTTTTGGAGGCAATCTGTCATATGGTAAAAAGTACAATGGTATTTGAGTACCCCTTACCCATTCCAAAAGAGATAAGAGTAAAAAAAAACACCAACATTGTGAAAAAATAGAAATACTTACCTTCTTTTTAAATACCTTTTATTAGGCTGCATTAAAACTGATGTGGTGTAGTTTGACCGCACCATGGGAGCAGTGTAGTGTACCTGCGGGCTTAGTGCTCGTTCTATTAGGTCCTGTGGTTTTGGTGTGCTTTCTGAAAGAACATCAAAACTCTTGCATGCTGCATTTTTGGTCTACTTTCAGAAAGCTCACCAAAACCGCAGTACCTATAATAATAGAACTATTAGATCTGTGGGTGTCATCATCACCTTTTTAGGCTATATGTTCTTTT